ACAAAAGCCTGTACATAAATGTACATAGCAGCTTTATTTGTAATAAATGACAACTGAAAGTAGCCCAAATATCTTTCAACAGGTGAATGGTTAGGCGAGCTGGGGTATATCCGTACCATAGAAAACTTCTTGGCAAGAAAAAAGAATATACAGGCAACAATCTCCAGAGAATTATGCTGAGTGGAAAAAGCCAATACCAAAGGTTACATGCTGTATGATCCCATTCACATAACATTCTGGAAATGACAAAATTATAGAAATGGAGAATAGATTAGTGACTGCCAGAGGGCCAGAGGTTATGATGGGGCAAAGAATACAGGAGTGGGAGGTGGGGAGGTGGCTGTGATTAAAAAAGAACAACATGGGGCTTCCCTGGTGGTGCAGTGGTTGAGAGTTCCCCTGCTGATGCAGGGGACGCGGGTTCATGCCCCGGTCCGGGAAGATCCCACATGCCGCTGAGTGGCTGGGCCCATGAGCCATGGCCGCTGAGCCTCCTCGTCTGGAGCCTGTGCTCCGCAACGGGAGAGGCCACGACAGTGAGAGGCCCACGTACCGAAAAAAAAAAAAAACAAAAAAAAAACAACAACATGGGGGCTTCTCTGGTGGCACAGTGCTTAAGGGGACACGGGTTCGAGCCCTGGTCTAGGAAGATCTCACATGCCACGGAGCAACTAAGCTTGTGCACCACAACTACTGAGCCTGCGCTCTAGAGTCCGCGAGCCACAACTACTGAGCCCACATGCCACAACTACTGAAGCCTGCGAGCCTAGAATCCATGCTCTGCAACAAGAGAAGCCACCGCAATGAGAAGCCCGCGCACCGCAACGAAGAGTAGCCCCTGCTTGCTGCAACTAGAGAAAACCCGCGCACAGCAACAAAGACCCAACACAGCCATAAATAAATAAATAAATAAATAAATAAACAAATAAATAAATAAGAGAACAACATGAGGGGTCCTTCTGGTGGTGAAAATGTTCAGTACCTTGACAGTGGTGGTAGATACACTAACCTACACAGGTGATAAAATTGTATGAAACAATACACACACGCACAGCAGGAGAAATCAGAATAAGATAGGTGAATTGTATGGATATCAATAACCGGTTGTGATATTGTGCTATAGTCTTAAAAAATGTCACCATTGGGGGAAATTGAGCACAATACAGAAAGGGTTCTATCTCACTATATTATTCTTATAATTACATGTGAATCTACAATTACCTGAAGTGAATTAATATTACTTCCTATTTCCATAAGCACTTATTAAGTATTTGACAATTTCTGGAAGGTTAAATGTATTCTATATTTTTATTTCAATTAGATGTGAATAAATGATATCAGAACTTCTTATAGATAAAGTCAAACAGTCCTCTGTTATAAAGAGCTAAAATTGTTTTCAAAGCTTCCCAAAGCAAAACAGAGACACTTATTTACCAGAAGATATTGATCTGAAACCGTAATTCTCCTCTCTGAGTGTTGAAGCAAGTAACCAAAGTGATCCAGCAAGATCTCTGGGATAAGAACCAGCCTACAAATATTCAGTGCTCTCTCTCTCTCTCTCTCTCTCTTTCTTAATTGAAAAGCTGGAGCCCAAACACCCATCAACACAGAAACTGCCTTAGATTGATTTTGGAAGGCAAATATTTCAAGTGCACATTTTATAGGTTACTGACTGAAATAAATTGTCTGAAAATGTCTATCACTGTGATCATTCTTATTCATAAAGATTGAATATTTGTGATTAAAATGAAAATACGTTCATTTAAAGCTAGTTACCATTAGGCATCCATCAGGAATGAAGCCGGAAGCCAATTCAGCCACTCATCAGAGGGCTCTTGGACCTACAAATCATGTCACGTACACAATGGCTCCTTGCTCTTACACTGGGAACACTGTAGGCCAAGGGTCCATGACTTCAACACTGCACATATGTGGCTGTTATTTAGAACCCTCTGAGGTATAAATTTACATTACCATCTGCCATCTCAGTTGCTGTTTACATCTGTCTTAAAAGGGGGGTTGGGCATAATCAATTAAAGTGCGCATAGAAAGCCCTGGAAAAAACACCACCACAACAACCTGAACTTCGGAGAAGTACATGTCTATCCAAAGAGGAAATAAAGAATTCATACTCTCTTCTCTCTTTGAAAATGTTCCCTTTGAACTTGGGAAATTGTGACGGGAGTGTTTTAAAATTCCTAACACTGTTCAGCTTCTCTGAAGGGCCCCAGAAATAATCTCAACATTTTATGCTTTAAAGTTAATTTAATGATACATGAGACAATAAAAATTTTAAACTTTTGCTCTACAAAAGACTCTGCTAAAAGTTTGAAAAGATAAGCTATAGACTGGGAGAAAACATTTGCAAAAATGTATTTCTGGTAAAGAAGGATTAGTATCTAGAATATATAAAGAATTTTCAAAACTTGACAGTAAAAACAAAAAGCAAACAATCTAATTAGAAAACACATTTCACCAAAGAAACATACAGGTGGCAAACAAGCACATGGAAAGACGTTCAACATTGTTACTCAACAGGGGAATGCAAGCAAAACCATAATGAGATAATGCTACACACCTATGAGAATGACTTTTAAAAAATTAAACACCGAATGCTGACAAGTATGTGGAGAAACTGAATCACTCATAAATGGCTGGTGGAAATATGAAACGGTGTAGCCACTCTGGAAAACAGTTTGGCTGTTCCTTATAAAATTAAACTTGCAATTGCCATAGGAGCCAGGAATTTCACTCCTGGGCTTTATTCCAGATAAATGAACACTTACGTTCACACAAAAGCCTGTACATCAATTTTCATAACAGATTTATTTGTAATAGCCAAACACCAGGTACAATCCCGATGTCCTACAACAGGTGAATGGTTAAACTTTGGTGCATACCGTGGAACGCTACTCAGTGATGAAAAGGAACAAATTATTGATACATGAAAAAACTTGGATGAATCACCAGGAACAATGCCGAGTTAAAAACAAACAAACAAACAAAAATAAAACTCAAGAAGTTACATACTGTACAGTTCCAGCTACATAACATTTTTGGAATGACAAAATTATAGAAATAGAGAGCAGGCTAGTGGTTGCTGTGGTTAAGGAGTGGGTAAGGGCAGGAAGAGTTGGGGGGGGGAGCGCTAACGTGAGGCAGGCTCACGATGACGGGACTGCTCTGATATGAGCAGATACTGATATGACTGCTCATATCAGTACACTGGTTGAGATATTTGACTATAGTGTTGCAAGATGGTAACACCGAAGGAATTACTTAAAGGCTACAGGTGATTTCTCTGTATTATTTTTTATAACTGCATGTGAGTCTACAGTTATCCAAAAAAAAAAAGGTTTAATTTTAAAAAAGAATTGAGAAGTCTAGGCAGAAAGTATATTCTTTCCACCTAAGTTTGGAGATGAAGATGCTGTTAACCTGTTGGCCAACAAGGCTGCTGGTAAGAGGATAAAGCAGGCAGTTTGGAACTGAGAGCCGCTTTTAGGGACTTTGCCTCAGCATGCAGGCGTTTCCCTTCCTAGCCAGGAGCATTACCTTTTGGCAGCCTTCATCTCTGTCCTAGAGCTTCCAATAAGGACCAAGGCAAGGTGGATCAAACAGGGAAGACTACTCTCTACTGATTCACTGCCACGGCATTTGAAGACATTCTAACCCTTGGGGTCAACCTCAGGATGAACTTGTTATTATGAGTTCTTGCTCTGTTACTGAGATGCTGGCAAATGTCAAGGAGGCATCGACCAACTCAATACTGGGAACTAACTGGTAGTTGAGGTCAATGAGGAGCTTCTTAGGACCTGCACAGCCTGCATCTTCAGGGAGGAAAGAAAACAACATGCCTGGAAAGCGCTCAGACCTCTTCTGGGAGAACCCATTTCTTGGGCAGTATTGGTGGGTAGCCTCCTGATTACCCTCAGGGATCTCAAGTCCTTCCAGCCTATACTGATCCCTACCTGATCTCCCAGACTGACGTCCCTGCTCTTGATGCCCAAACCAGTGACTACAAACTTCTGTTCCTCCAGTCAACACAGGACATTTCCTCCAGTGAGCGAACGGGAAACATGGACCCTTCCTCTCCATCTGACAGCACGTCACCTCCCGCACAACTTGCTTAAATACCCTTTGACCCTAAGCCTTTCTTGGAGTGCATGTGTATTCCTAATACTAGAACATTTGGTTTAGTTCCTTTGAAGGAGCAAGTTTTTCCTGCCCTCCATACCCCACCTATAGGGTGAGGGCTGCATTCTTTGTTATGTTTTATTTCTTTCTAAAATGCTCTCACTGGTGAGCAGGACTGTAAAGTGGTTAAGAGCATGGACTCTAACATTCAATGCCCAGTTCAAACCCTGGCCTCACCATTTACTAGCAGTGAGAACTTGGGCCCCAAATGTCACATCAGTGGGATGGGCATGATGACAGCAGCGTATCCTGCAAAGCTGTTATGAGGGTTGAAGAGTTGATATGTGTAAAGAGGAGCGCCTGGCACGTGGGAAACCTTATGTAAATGTCAGCGATACTATTCGTCTTCTCATCAACCTACTACTCCAAGAGGCAACAGTGGTGTGTGAGAGTACTCTGAACTTAAATTCAAATGGATTTGAGGGTCAGAATTAGCTGTGGCACCTTTGGGGCAAGTCACTTAATCTCTCTGTGCCTAAACTTCCATATTTGCAAAGCCAGGCCAAAAAAATCCTACCGCTTAAGGCTGTCATGGGGATTAAAGGACCTAGCTTGTTTGTCTGGACTACTCCAGCCTTGCATACCAGGCCCTCAGAGCACTACTCTGTGCGTTGTTTTTGTAACGGACAATTATTACCGTAGGGAGCAGTGGCCGCGAGATGAGTCCTCTTTCCCTCTCCATCCCCCTTGCCCCCGGCGCCTGAGAAACAGAGCATCCCCATGGCAACAGCGGCAGCTGGTCCCTTGATAAGAGGAGCTGAAGCCGGGCGGCAGCAGCCACTGCCACTGAGGAGCCGGCCCAGCTTCAGAGAGGAAACACTTCCTCCCCGTCACTTGCCTTCTCATCTCAGCACCTGCACTGACTGGTAAGTGCTTCGGATTTTTACTCTGAGAACTTTTATGGTGAGAAAAGCAAGCTTCCAATAAGTTACAGCTCTTTTGTGGTTGCTGGGACAAAGAAGGTTGCAGCTGGTGGTACAGGGGGCGTGGGAGATGGCGATGCTTTCTGGAGTGAGACTAAGCCGGAATTGGATGCGGAGCTGGGAGAGTCACCACTTGCAAGTCATTTTTTCCAAGGGAGGTGGGCTCCTGAGTTGTGTAAGAACCAGAGTCCCCGCAAATTAAATTGCGAAGTTCCATAATGAACACAGGAATATCTGCGTATTCACACAGCAGTGTAGGGAGGCTTATCTTCCAAGGCTGAGGAGAGTGTCCTAATCAAAAAAATCCCCTCTCTGTCCCACTTCGAGGAAGAGTCATTCCTCGAGGAATACTGCCAATTTAGGCCTTCTAAATGAACAAATTTGATTTAAAAACGTGGTACTTTTAACCTGAATTCAGTCCTCAGGTTAAAAAAAGATTTGACAAAAGATGTGAATTTTTACATAAGCAGAGGCTACTTTAACCAGACACCACATTGGGCTGTGGACATAACCTTCTAACTTTTTATTCCATCAAGTAAATCCAGGTCTGACTAATTTGGGGAAATTCTTTAGAATACCACATGACTCGGCTAAGGGTCAGCTCGCTCCTGAGAATCAGTATTAGCATGTTGCCAAGGCCTGGAAATGGGTGTTCTGCAGTTGGTTTGTACCTTGGATTGTTCTTATCTCATCATTAGCTTCAGAAAAGGCCAGAGATGGGACAAGGAAATGGTTCCAATGGTTCAATTTAGATGTACATGTTGTAATTCCAAGCAGAGGACTAAAAGAGCAAAGAAAGCAACTGACATTCTTAAAATGGTAGCATGTGCTGGGATCTGGGCTGGGAGCTTGACACACATTGTACTGTTAATACTCTCAACAACCCTGGAGAAGAGCCACTATCGTGCCCATTTCACAGATGTGGAAACTAAGTTTCCAAGAGGACATATAACTTTCCCAAGTTCACCCAGCTAGAGAGTGGGACAAGCAACCAAGCATTTGCTTCTACCTTATATCACCTCACAGCACCAAATGCTTACAGTCAGTGAGGAATTTTCTATGAATTAAACTACATATGCTAACACCCAACTGAGAAATCTACTCAGTGTTAAGAGAAAGGACAACATGCCCAGAGCAGCTTCTGACCTTAAAGTGAACTGACCAATCTTTTTTAGCTGCAGAAATAGCACTACTATCCTCCTGAAATAGGAACCAGCACTGAGCTAGTGGAGACAGGCTCCCTCAAAGGTGTCCTCGGCTTCAGCAGGCTGCTCTGGCGTTCCTGCCCTGCAACCTAGCCAGCTTCCTTCCCTGGCACCCAGCTCCCTGGACCTTTCTTCTCCTGTTCTCAAAAGAGAAAGAGACCTTTATCATTAATAACCCCTGTGTGTGGTGACATCAGTTAATGTATCTCCTCTCTCAGTGGCATTTGTGTTTACAAGTGTCTCTCTGAGAAAAGGAATGTAAGAATTACCAAGAGGAGTTACGAGAGTTTAGCGTCAGGATCCTGAAAACCTCCTCAAACCCCTGATATGCCATCACCTGGTCTCTTGTACGTGCTACAACAAAACACCCACATTCTTTCAAACAACAATGAGAAAAGTAATACAGACCCACAGCTCTTTCTTCTCTAATGGAAAAATCTGAAAGCCAAAAGTTTTTGTTGTTGTTAGGTTCAACATAAATTCATTTGGTAGCTAAACCTGACATGAAAGGTATGAATCATTTTGTAGGCTTTATTTATGTGATTTAGTGTGAATATTCATATTTTTGCTACAGAAGTAATGCCTGTGATTGTGGAGCTTCCTGAGACTCCTCTAGAGGTGTTACATAATAAAAATATCCTGATTTCCACCATACATGTGGCTCCAGGCTTTTCAGGAGAGGTTGGGAGGGCCAATACTGACAGTCACAGTGGTGGTCCCAGTCGTCACTGTGCGAGTATTCAAATTCAGAGACCACACTGAACCAATAAACGGCAAGAGAATGCTAAAGGATCACAAATCTTTGACTAGAAAATAGTTTACAAAATACCCCCAAAGCATCTCTTCAGTCCCTAGCCCTTTGGTTGGAATCTGAAGACCCAGGGTACCAGGTGTTTAGGTACGAAAGAAAGAGCTGATTCTTCAGAAATTTCCCATAATACAGCGAGCTGTTGAGGGGAGATGATGGAACATTCCCTGGGCAGCATGACAAAAGCAACATCCATATGCTGTGCTTGGGGTGGAGACTGAATTAAAGAGAGAAATGCATGGGCAGAGTCAGGAATACGAAGTAGAAATACTCCATTTCCTAGTTCAAGAGTTAGACTAGCTCCTGACTTACAGTGGCTCAATTATCCTGAGCACCCCTTCTCACTGAGGGTAGAAATGCAGAGGGGGTAGGGAGACGGGGTCATCTTATACTAAGATTCAACAGGCAGATAAAATGACGATCATTAATAAGGTGATGCTAAACTCCAAATACCTCTCTCCTCCGTGTACTCGTTCCTTTCTTTGTGTGAAGGTTTTTTTTTTTTTTTTTACAGCCAAGAATACTGTAGTGACATCATCCATAGTAAAAGTAGCTTCTAATCCCATGGGCAAAATGCATCCCTGCCCAGCATGGAGTATTTTTGTAAAGTAAAATCCCAAATGTGAAAATCATCTCTCGGCCTCCTAGTAAACAGAGGCTTACCATCATTTTTTCCCTCACACTGATTTAAAATAGTGATGTGTCCCCCATAGACACTAGGTGCTACCTTGGGGAGGAGGCATGTGTCAGTTTTGTGACTAATCACCAGGTACCCTTACCTTGTCCGTGGACTTCTGACACTTGCACCGTTCGTCTCTCAAGGGCAGCCTCCTTTCTCTCAAGTCCAGTACTGTGAAAGCCAATTTGCTCAGATGGTGGCTGGCTGTCCCATGGGTCAGCACCTAGATGAAAATGAAAGAGTCAATGATTTTTAGAATTGTTCAGTTCGTCAGCTGGTCTTCATTAGCCAGCTATCTAGTACGGTATAGACCATGTTACATGACTGACATTTGCTCAATACCTACAATGTGCAAAGCACATAGCTACTATTTAATCATCATAGTAACTCTGGGATAGTTACTATTAAGTCTATTTTACAGATAAGAAAACTGAGGCTAAGAATGGGGGCAGAGAGGACCATATGTCCCCGGGTACCAGTCTGTGGGTGCACCAGGAAGACGCTCACCTTGGCAAATTCTACCACAGCAGCAATAGACTGTAGGTAGAAAGGGCAAAAGCGATTATATTGCACTTGGGCTCCATCTACCCTCACTACATCATGACGATTTAGCCACTTCATCAAAGTCTTACTGCTTTTAGGTAAAGGGCTGAAATTTAACCTAGGTCTATTTGACTTGAAAGCTCAGATTCAAATTAAATAAACCAGCTATTGAGCACATAGGAGCAGCCTTATGATCCAAGTACAAAAAACAGTTTACATTAGGTTGGAGAGAAGGAGAGGGGTACTCCTGCCAGAGAGGACCTAGAGTAAAAGGTAAGAGGCCTGAGTTCAAACGATGACTGACTCTAAATATGTAACTAATTGTAGGTCATGTTAAGCTCTTTGAGTCTCAGTCTCTTCTTCTAGAGAAGGAATATTTTAACTAGTTCCTGCATGGGGTGATGTTCAGCACAAAGTCTATGACAGGGCCCATGATTTTCTGCCCAAAGAGATGAAAGATTGAGTAGGTACACAGGCCATATCTGAATGACTTTGCCTCCAGACCCCAAACACTGAGCCCACTCATCCTGAATGATGGTCCCATAGCTTTCCTCTTCACGCAAGCAGGTAGGGGCCGGCCACCCAAGTTAACAGCATACTTCCTTATGGTCCCAGGGAGTTGGCAGTCTCTATACAAACGCTAAAAGCAATGGTCTGAATTGATTTCTGCTGAAGTCACTCAGTGAAGTCAGTCTGCTCAGAATGACACTAAAAGCTGGCTCAAGTAATCCGTTAATGGCTCCATCTGCTACACAATGATCTCAGCTTGTAGGAGGAGAGGCCCTCTAGCCTTCCCAGAGAACATTGGCTTATTCCTCAGAAGACAACTGAGTTGAACTAATTCTGTGAGCTTGAAATGTTGACACAATTGGTCTGTGTGTTCCTCTGCATGCCAGTGATCCAAGAATCTCAAGAAAAAAGGGCCAGTTGGGTCATTTTAATCTTTTTGCTCTCTAACCATTCTTGCTATGGTAGGACATGAGTAATAAATTATCTAAAAGAAACAGAATATAGGCAGACTCTAATGAAGATTTCCTATAAATCTCAACTAATGCATTTCTCATTCAGACCTGACACATGTCCATTCTGAATTTCTACTCCTTCTGGAGAATGGCTACAACTAATAGCTCTGAAAAATTCAATGGATTTGCGGTTTAGGAAAAATGGGCCTATGGGGGGAGGAGGAAGAGGAAACAGATTTGCTATAACGTCAGAAATCTCTAGGGAGAAAATAATAAAGATCCATTTCAAGACCTAGATATTTTCCTACCACGTCTCTACGACTGTTGTAATGTGGATAGGGAAGAAGTCTCATTACTTCATAGTTATAAGAAGGTAATGGTAGAAAACCAGAAGCCTGTTTCAATTTCGATTCAAAGGAGACACTGTTTGAAGAGTCTTGGGTCTCTAGTGGAAGTCTTCAGAAATGGAGATGGATCCAAGCTTGGCTATTTAATAGATGTGTGACTAAATAACTTAATTAGATGTTCTGATCCTCAGTTTCCTATCTGTGAAGTAGGCATAATCTTACTTTGCAGAGCTCAACAGAAAAAAATACAGGCAAGGTTTAATCAAGATTTTCTGTAACTCCCGGCTAACTCTTTTCTAATTCAGACTTTACAAGTGTTCATTCTTGAAACTCCCACAGTGCTTCTGAAAGACAGCAAATATGGAACATTTGATACGTGACAATTACTGATAATGTGTGTGTGTGTGTGTGTGTGTGTGTGTGTGTGTGTGTGATTCATTTATTTTGGCTTAAATCTTAAGTTTGGAGCTTCTAGTAGCTAAGTAGAAGAAGCAGACTTTAAAAATAGGATTGAATTGAGAACATAGTAGTAAGTGCTCAGTAGATATACTTATTTAACAAGTGAGTGAATAAACAAAAGAGGTACTAATGGACTTGTTTCTATACTTCTGTGGTGCTGGAGAAGAAATCCACACACGGGCCCTCCTTTGATGATGTCCACTGAGCAAATGCAGCCACTGGAGCTCTCAGAAGACAGACTGGACAAGCTTGACCCTCGTTGTGGCCACTTAGGTAAATGCTCCAGTGTGAACGTCAATGGTGAAAGTCAGAAAGGGGGCATCCCTGACATTCAGTTTGCAAGCAAGTCAGAGGGAGCCCCCTGAAACCTGATAGTTTGTGACTTTTGATGACAGCCAACACCAGATGGATGGGCAAATAGCCATGGGTCTGTGGGGTCTGCCATGTAAATATTAGCTGAAGCACTGTAGAGAAGTTCATTAGAATTAAAAAAGAGGGGAAAGGCATTGTCGTCTTTTTTGGGTCTGACAGAGTCCCAGGCAGAGCACTTTTGAGGCAATAAATGGAATGTGACATTATAGCTTGTTTCCAGTACTTTCCGGCACACTTACACCCCATGTGCAGTGCCAATAAAATATTTCAAATATCTCTCTTTGCCTATCAAGACAGAATTTTAAAGCCTTTTTCTGCTTTATTGTCAATCTGTTTCCTTTCCAGAACTGACTTTTTGCATAACATTTGTAATGAAAATACCAGAAACATTTCTGCCTCTACCCATTTCTAAAAATGAGACACTCAGACTTTTGATGGGTGGGCCTTTTGCATATTCATAGCCTTTGTTTATGCCTCGCTTGGTTATGCCTCCCCTTGCCTCTCCCCTCTCCCCATTTACCATCAAGATATTTTATATTCAGGATTTCTCCAAACATGGGAGAAAAGGCAATTGAAGTAAAAGTCAAAATTGAAGGAAATGCCTTGCTCTTTGTACGGTGCCCTGAATCGCTTCTTGGGGTTGAACGGTGACGCATGGCTGGTCCATAGCCAGCCTGTACTTCCAGAGACCCCACAGCTGGGCAGCGCTCATTCTGAGCCACTTTAATTCATTCAACAAATGTCTATGGTATGGATAATATGGGGAGAAATGAACTGTGCTCTGTGGTAATAAATTTTTAAAATTACATTTTCCGCCTGGCATTAAGATACATAGACTCAAGAGCCTGGGTTTAATCCTGATGCCATAACCTGACAGCAGTGGAATCGTCAGCCTTTTAGCTGGCCTTCTAGACCTCAGTCTTCTCATCTGCAGGTTAGGGATAATTGTACCTTTCCTCGTGGGCATGGTGTGAGAACTAAATGAGATAATATACAGGATGGTGTGAATATTTAACAGCTGGTAGAACACAGGCATTGACGAATCAGAAAAGGTGTTGGTCCATCCCACACACTAAAATGAGGTGAAATCACCTAGTACATAAGTAGTACTCAATAAAGTCCCCTTCTCATCTCCTTTTTTTGCATGCATGTAAACATAAAATCATACAGTCCAATGCCTTACACATAGTACAATTTCAATCAATGCTTATTAAATTGAAATGATTGGATGAAATTATTAAAATCTCCTCGATAAAAGGAAACATTTATTACTATTAAATATGGCTGAAGAATGATGCTGTTTGAGTTTTTGGTTATTATTATGATCTTCTGATGAGGCAGGCATAATGATATAGAGTCACTAAATAGTTCTGATAGTTGGTTCCTCACACGTATTGGGTTTTCTAAAACAAAGGATCATCCAGATATAACGTCCAATAGACCATAAGTAACTTGGAAGCAAGGTCCATTTCTTACTTTTCTTTTTAGTCCTAGCTCAATGCCGGCATATACAGTAGAGGTTTAATCAATGTTTGTTGAATAAATAAATGAATGAATGACACAGGTTATGTCTAGACCCACAAAAGTGAAGTGAAAAGGTCTGGCACATTTAATCCACAATATTTTAAAGAAAGTGACCTGAATATTTTCATAAACAGAAGAAAGAGAAAGAGAGGAAGAACAAAAGGGAGGAAGGAAGGAATGGAGGGAGGGAGAGAGGAAGGGATTTAAAAAAATCCAATTACTCTCTGAATTTCCCCAACATCATTTATAGTTGTAAATCTAGCTGGACAGTATCCAGGCCATAGTGAGTTTCCAGAGAGACAAATAGCTTCACTGCCTTGCACCTTCTTTGAATCCTAACGGGATAGCTCCTTATCCATAATATGTTTCAGTTCATTCATTCAAGCATACATTCAACAAATATTTATTCATTTTTGCTAAGGAGATAAAATATAAGACACCTGTCATAAAAGAGGGCCAAGAAGATATGCATAAGTAATCATTAGATCACCCTTTAAAGGTGTTAACATGAGTAAAAATGCTGTGGATACTTAGAAAATGAGAAAGGACACCCAGGACTCGGGTTAATAAGAAAAGACAATGATGGGGTGGGAGTGGGAGGGTTTGGCTTTCCTCTGAGCCTTGGGGAAAGTATTGGGGGTAAGCAATGGCTAGAGTGAACATTTTTTGAGGATATGAAATATATCAAATGTATCAAATGCTTTACCATCCTTAACAAATTTAGTTCTCTCTCTCCCTTTCTCTCTCTTCTCTCTCTCTCTCACACACACACCAATTTAATATTATCCTCACCTTAAAATTTGAGAGAATATTAAAGTTCCTAGAAATTAAGCCCTCCCCAAAAAAAAGGGAAAAAAAACAAATTATGGTCCAAGTTCTCAGAACTAACAAGAAACTGAGTCAGGATTTGAACTTAGATCAGTCTCACTCTACTTATTTATCCATTCAGCAAGCATTTATTGGTGGGAGAGGCAATTAAGAATAAAATTATCAAAAGGATATATAATCTTTAATCTCCAAGAAGGCTCTATCTAGAGCAGGAGATAAATCATTATGGAATGAACAAATGCTAGAACAGTGACAGAGGAGCTCAAAGGACAGCAACATAAACCAAAGCACAGAGGAGTAAAATGGAACAGAGAGAATACTTTAATGGGCAAGGCGTGATTGGATCGAATTAATTACATACAATGACATCTGATGGACATGATGTAGAATCGAGGCTTCAAAAGCTCTGGTGAGGTAATGAAGGGGACTGAGGAAAATAAAGAGATGAATAAGAAGACGCGAGGACCTGGGGTTAGGATGGGCAAATAGGAGAATTGCAAAGCCAGGGGGCAGGGTAAAGACCAATGCTGATATACACACTACTATATATAAAATAGATAATCAACAAGGACCTACTGTACAGCACAGGGAACTCTACTCAATACTCTGTAATAACCTATATGGGGAAAGAATCTGAAAAAGAATAGATACATGTATATGTATAACTGAATCACTTTGCTGGACGCCTGAAACTAACACAACATTGTAAATCAACTATACTCCAATATAAAATTAAAAATTTTTTAAGAAGACCAATGCTGAAGTGTAAGTGTGAATCACTGGTGTGACTTGGCCAGTCATAGAAATGAAGGCAGTGAGGAACATTCTGAGAACCCAACTACAAGGTCAAAGAGAGCATAAGGCGCCATACCGGCCCTTGGGCTCTCCAAAGAGAGTAAGGCTTGAGCAAAGGAAATTGGGAAGGAGCATTTGACACCTGTTCTCCCATCAGAAATGTAACTTAAACCCACTCTGTGCCTTGCTTAACTATACTTTAAAATTCCTCTTTGCCTTGATTATCCATCCCATTTAAGCTCTCTCCATTTGGAATTTTACAGAATTCTAGTTTTATTACATGATTTATACATGTAAAGTCTGCTGTAGAAGAGGCCACAATAAATAAATACTTTTCAGTTTCAGATCACACGACTTCTACTCCTATCATCAGGTATAACTGGAATCCAACCAGTCCATAACTGGACACTTATGTAATATTCTTTTTTTCTTTGCATCTTGTCAAAATCAGATGACCTTTCAGACCAGTTTATTAAGGACTGTGATCTCAAAAAGAAGCCAAGAAAAGGGAAAAATGTACAAGTCACCCTGAATGTTGAGTCAGACCAGAAAAAACCAAGGAGAAAAGATACACCGGCCCTGCACATCCCACCTTTCATACCAGGTAATGAACAATGAGGTCAGTTTGCACATCTGTAAAAGGGAACTGCTTGCCTCTAGATCACATTGGTCTTACAATTTTTTCCTTAAATATTTGGATGTTTTAAAATCATTGTTGCAATCTCTACATTTGTCTTAGTTACAATAAGGCCAGCCATTATAATATATATATATGTATGTATATATATATATATATATATATATATATATATATGGTCCAAAATATTAGTGGATAACACAATACAAGTTTACTTTTCCCTCATCAGTGGAAGTTGGGGGCGGGGGAGGCAGGCTGTGCTCCAAACAGTCCCGCAGGGACTCGAGTCGATGGACATCAACACTACACGGCTTCTAAAGTCACTGTAGGCCTCCAGCAGGCCCAGGGCAGACAGAGTGGAGGACTGGCAAGCCTGCAAGTGGCACACACACTTCCTTCCGTCACAACCCTCATCCGACTGCAAGGGAGGCAGAGAAATGCAGCCCAGCTGTGTGCCCAGAAGAGTGAAACTGTCTGGTGAACAGCTAACGAGTCTCTATAACAACTGTGCATGTGGCATGTGACACTCTCTTGTTTCCAAACGTTTTGTTTTGTCTTATTTCCTTTACCCCTTCCCTCCAGGCCATTTATTTAATGTCCTCTCTATTCACAACCCACTCAGGGGGATACAAAACAAATAGAACACAGAGCATTCTGAAAAGGAACTTTCTTTCAGTTTTATAAGAAATAAGAGAAACACATAAACAGCTGAAATATACAGCAAGAAGTAACATCATAACGGAGGTCCTCAGATAAGGACCCTGGGAGCTCAGTGTGGGCAGTGAATTGTGGACAGTTTTATAGAGGAGGCTGTTTTTAGAGAGTTTTCTCCATTCTACAGATGGAGAGAACTTTCACGCGTAGAAGAGAGGAGAGTAGGCAGGTAGGTGGAAGTAGAGGACTAATTAAGTCAGTGAAGAGTGTAGCCCGTGGCTTATGGAACAGCAAAGGCCCCATCGCTCTAATGCGGGTGGACTTTGGCAGCAGACAGACCTGGGCTCCATTCCTCAGGCACATGTCTTTGCCTCACTTTCCTCAGCGAGTGGACGGTGGTAGTAATATTAAATTGCTCAGGGTTTTGTGAGGCTAAAATGAAATCAGACATGTAAAATCCTTTGCACAAATGATGTTCTCTAGTGTAGCCTCAATAAATACTAATTCTTATTTTAAAGAAACTGCTTTTATTAAGATGTTTGAAAAGATCTATTGACTACCATCACCAGGTGTATGTGCAAATATGGATGCATGTATTTGACCCTGTTTCTCCCTCTGTTCCCCTAATTATGCAGGTGTGCTTTCAGAACATTTAATTAAAAGATACGATGTCCAAGAGAGACATCCAAAAGGCAAAATGAGTCCAGCTCTTCATAACACTGACCTGGAACAGAAAAAGCCACGGAGAAAAGACACACCTGCCCTGCACGTGTCCCCCTTTGCAGCAGGTAAAAGAGCTGGTGCAGGGCATTTTCAGGGGGTGATGGAAACAGGTCAACAGGCTTAACATCTGGACGTGCCAGAGGCATGGCCTTTGTCCTGGCCCAGCAATCTGTGTCTCAAAGAAGGGCCCAGGGGAGGAACAGCATTTACTGCTGCCTTTCAGGTTTACCTTCATTGGCCGCTCCCCTGGGGCTGACTTGGAGCTGGGTGATGATCAGAGCATAACTCATGCTTCAGCAGAACTGGTCGAATTCACTGAGCCAATGAAATAGAAATGTCAGTGGGTCCTTGAAAAGAGTTTAAATACCCTCCTCCCCAGTCTTCCAGGAATCTTGCGTTCTATGGCTGACAGCTGAGTCTCCCAAGACACCTGGATATATTTACCAAATCCTCAAAAGAAGAGAAAGAGAGAGCGAAAGGGAGAGAAGGAGAGCTGCAGAAATAATGATAGCTCTCTTAATATGTGTCAAATCAAACCAAAACATCTTGCTGAACTATGTGCACCACCCCACGTTACAGGGCAGGGCAGTCAGCGTGTGAGGTATAGTCTTGTCCCTGAGAATTTTACGTACAAGTTGGGGAGAAAGACATACACAATCACGGTTAGAGTATAAGACGGAGTGCATGTTTGTTTTATATAGTAGTTGGGGGTGGGAGAATGGCAGAAGAGAAAATAAGCTAATGTTTATTGAAACCCTACTTAACGTTAGCTACTAAGTTTACATGTCTTGTGGATTTTCAAAAATCAACTGAATAACACAATAACTAGTATCTCACTTTACAGATAAAGAAATTGAGAGAGAATTTAAGTAACTTAGCTACTCTAAAGTCTTCTGTTGATGAAATTGATGGATGGATGGCTGATTGACTAATTGATGATGGGATGATTAGAACGATTGATGAATGGATCAAATTATGCTCACGTTCAAACACTGTTACATGACAGAGCTGGGGCTCCCGTCCAGGTCTGTCTCATCTGTGAGCAGTTTTTCATTGCACCATGCTATGGTTTGGACTGGTAGCATTTTAGCAATCCAGAAGGGACACTTGGGAGGAGATTAGATTTAGTCATTATTATAAAACTGTACTTTCCCATTTTTGCATCTAATAACAAAATTGAAAGACGGCTCAGAACACATCATGAAAAGACAGTCAGGGGAGCAGACAGGGTTACTGACCTCTGAGAAGAGCCAGGCAAGGAGGAATGAAGCATGAGGAAGCACTTGTCTGGAGAAATGGACCAAGGACCAGTTGGGAGGGTCTGAACCTGCCTCGGCCATGTTTCTCATAGGTTACATGCATCCCTACCTATACTGATCCTTCAACCCATCACACATTTCCTCCAAGCTCTGCCTCTGTCCAAATTCTAGTCACCTTTTAAGACTCAGCCAGCTTAAAGTCTCTGCCAACAGACCCCTCCAAGGCCAAAATGAATATTTTTTATTCTGAACTAACTCTGTATTAGAGCTGGGCATGCAAATACCAAGACTTTGCCCTCTCTTTTAGTATTATCCTTATTGTTTTTGTTGCTGTTGTTGTAGTTGTTATTTAAATTGACTTACATCAAAGACTTTTTCGATGAAGTCATGAGAATTGGCCTGGGATTGCCCTGTGTTGCTGGTATTCACCTTGATATCTGGTCCAGTCCCTCCTATATAGCCGTGCTCAATAAGTATCTGTTCATTAGATATTCCATCTGGCAATCATGATTTAGCAGTTTCAAGTTCTCCATTAGGAGACTGATTATTTTCTGCTCATTCTTGTATTTGTTTTTATTGAAGTCCTTCTAGGGGAAGACTTAGTAGAGGAACAAAAATACTGACGGTCAGAGGGTTACCTTAGTACACAGCACTGAACATGGGCTTTGGAGTCAGACAGGTGTAGGTTTGATCTCTGGTTCTGCTCCATTCTAGCTTTGTGACCTTGGGAAACAGACCATAAGAGCCTCCTTCATTTCATCCATCTCTGAAAGGAGAACCATAAAATCTGTCTCTCAAGGTTGTTAACACAATTAAATAAAGTATATAAAGCACCTAGCACAGTTCCTGGCTTATTGAAAGTCCTTAATAAATGTTAGTTCACCTCTATCTCTTTTCAAACTTATATTCTTTTCTTTTTTTTAACATCTTTATTGGAGTATAATTGCTTTACAGTAGTGTATTAGTTTCTGCTTTATAACAAAGTGAATCAGCTATACATATACATATATCCCCATATCTCCTCCCTCTTGCATCTCGCTCCCACCCTCCCTATCCCACCCCTCTAGGTGGTCACAAAGCACGGAGCTGACCTCCCTGTGCTATGTGGCTGCTTCCCACTAGCTATCTATTTTACCCTTGGTAGTGTATATATGTCCATGCCACTCTCTCACTTTGTCCCAGCTTACCCTTCCCCCTCCCCGTGTCCTCAAGAAACTTATATTCTTTGAGATAAGTTAAATCATTTCTAAAGGTGAGAATTTTTCTAGTCACAGTGTTTTACCTCTCCATAGAACCCTGCTGATTCAAGGAACTTCCTAAGCTGTTAAGCTCTATTTCTCTGGGAATGGAGGCTGCTTACGTCCCAATATCGACATCTTAAGAGAGCAGCTTCCTGGACAAATAAAAAATGTTTATCAAACAGTGCAAAGTACACAAGAGTTGGAGCAGTGGCCTGTATACATTATGGAATTCATTGAATCAGCAAATCTTTGGGTTGCAAGTATTTGCAATTATAGATAGTGTTCTAATGATTCTAGCTTTCATTAGCATATTAGCTGAAGTACTTTATTTTTGAAGAGCCTTTTAGTATCTAAAGATTTGGCAGTAATTGAAATGCTAGTTAGGCTGATAAGAATGGAGCCTTCAGCAGAGGTTCAGAGAGACACACTGGTTCTAATAAGGGTCTTGAGAGGAACTCACAGGAAAATGCACTCCGGAGACATCTCCTCTCATTAGCCCTTGGCAAGTGAAGGCTGGACAGGGATTCACTCTCTTCTTTAAATCTCTAGCTAACTACCTTCATTCCCTGAGGTTAATGAGCTTCTCTGACAGCTTCCAACCATCAGACAACTCCTCTAAGCAGTGAGGAGTCATCTCGGGCTTCCTTGCCAGCCCAAGCTCTGCTCTCAATGTGACCCACAGTTGCCAGGGCCAAGGAACTGCAGGGCAGGGAGAACTGGTTTGGGATTGGTCAGATCTGCGTAGCCGAGACCTGCTTAAGAGGAAGCGAAGTCTTCAGTTGAGGTCTGTGGCAAAAGGAACTGGAGAAAGTAATGAATAATGAGGCTGCAAGCATTGAAGAGAAACTTCCTGAAAAATTGGTCTATGAGCTGTGAACACTTGGAGATCAAAGCTCAATATGGTACTTGTAGAAAGGAGCCTGATGTGTCCTTTGAAAGTGACACCTCTTCTGTCCTGCCGGGAATAGAGCGCTCTCTCTGGTGTGGTTTATCAGGAGGGGTGGTGTCTTAGCCCTGGCTGCCTTAGATCTGCACACATCTGTAATGCAGGTGACTGGCTTTAGATGGTGCTCTGGCGGGGATCATGGCCTAAAACAGCTTGCTGCAAGGCTAATTGACCCTTTAGAGACCTTGGACTAACAGCTTTAGCCTTAAAAACACATCAAGCTCTAAGAAGCAACCAAGTGCCCTAAACTCTTCTACATAGAGAGTGAAAGAGAAAGAAGTGACATTTTTCTAAATCCCTACTATATTCCAAGTCTTGTGCTAGATGTTAGAATATCCTTTGAGAATCTCATAGTTTGGTAAGGAGACGATGTCTTGTCCAATGATTCCTACAATGTGTAAAGTACTTTAACAGAGGTTCATGTAAGGTGTGATTGAAGCATAAAAGAATGTTGGGCTAAATCTATCTTGGCGGGATCACCCCCTGTGGGAGATACAAATTATGTTTCCTCCCGTTTTACAGACGAATAAACTGAGGCTCAGACAGGTTAAGTGGCCTGCTCCAAGTTCAGTGGCCAATGAAGGGAAAGCTTTCTGGCTCTAGAGCACATTTCTCTAATAATACACCTCTGCTTATACAGGAAAATGTAAGGATCAAGACTAGGTTAAATCAGATAGACTAGTGTTTGTTAAATCTCATTCATCTTCGAATGACCAAAGACAATGATATGAAGCATCAAGGATAAGCACACAGTGACGACATATAGATGCTACTGATTTAAGCCTCATCCTAAGCAGTGATATCCATGAAATCAAGATTTTGATAAACTACCGTATATTTTTTCATTATAAGACATTAGAATGAATGCTTAATTATACTAATATAATAGTATACTATTATTATATATTATATATAATATATATTATTGTATATATATTATATTATATACTATTATATAATAGTATAATAGTATACTAATATACTAGTTCACCTCCACTTGAAAGTATCTCCTGTGTCCCTGTGGAAAACCTAGCCCACTTTGGGAAGGGCTGACCTTGATGATTTAACAGCCTCTTCCCTTCCCTGAAATCCCAGGATTTTTTTTTTTTTTGGCCCAGATGCTTGTACAACTAGGTGTCAAGGATACTTAAAATAACCAGAAAGTTGACTAGGATCTGGGAATTTAAAGGCTCCTGTCCTCATTGAATCCACCCAAATTTGGTGTAATGTGAAGAAATATCAAGGAATGCTTGGGGGCTCAGCATAGCTAATTCTGTGTTCTTCGATCAAGATAGCCTTAATTCTAAATTAAAATCCAAACCTCTGTGCAACTGGTATAAGAGAAAATATCTCCCACTCTGCTTCATAACTGATTTATGCAAAAGCCTTATTTTCAGCCAGACTCTTGAAATTGTTTTTCTCCTCCAATAAATGTCAGCTAATTGGTAAAGAACCCATATGAACCAACGAGGGACTGAATCAAAGGAATAGTCATTAAGATCAACACATAGTATTCGTCAATTTGCCACTGTTGAATGGACTCCAGTGTTGTAGAAAGGCCTCTTGGGGTGCACAGCTTTCCTCCCTCAAGTTTAGGTCTTTATGAAATGCTTCATGAACAGAAAGGTCTCTGATTCTGAGGAGGGTGGGGAGTGATTCAAGGCAGAGGTGGGTAAACAAAGCTGACTGACTGGAGTGGGATGACAGAAACCATGGAGGACTGGCCCTGAATCACAGCTCCCTTTCCTTTTATTAAAACAACCGATTTCACAATTCACAGGATAAGCAGAACCGTCCACACCTCCTTGGATAGTTTTTTCTGGGCTGATCAGTCCAGAAAATGGTGCTCAGGCTTCTGAATTCCACAGACTAGTAAACTTTTAAAAACAAGATATTGTGAGCCTAACATAGGGATAGCAACTTCGAATTTTTCCTAGTAAGGATACTGACAAAACAACCATCTAACACCCCTAAAATTTCATAAAAGAAAGGATATTTTAATCCCCAAAATAAGAAAAAGAATCATCTCAAAATAAAAGACAGAATTGTAGCCATATAGCTGTATGAAAAAAATTCACCGCATTTTCCTTATTTTCTCGTTTTGCTCTAAACCACATAAAATTTATCATCTACCAGCACTGACATTCAGAAGCAGGATGTTCAGAGTCTCAGCTCAATATTCTCCCAGATGTTAGTAAAATATGTTTAGTTTGACTTCATGAGGCTTACCAGTTCTTTTCAAAGGGAAAATAAACTAGCAAATTGTGAAAGGAAAGGAAGAACTAAGTTGCTCATGGCTGTAGCACTGTGCTAAGAATTATTACATACTTCTCATTTAGTTGTCACAATAACCCTTTATATAAATATTAATGCCCTCATTTTACATACAAGAAAACTTAGGTCTGAAGGTGCTATCTGGCCCAACACAGATTAAGTGAGTGGCAGAATGAGTCCAAAGCAGTTAGACTCCAAAATCCATATGCTTCCATCCTACTGCTGTAAGCTTAAATGTAGAATGTAGAGAAGGGGGTGAAAGTTGCCTCTGACACCTAGGTTGAGCATCTCTTATAACCATAACGGTGTTCTCACTGAGCCACAACTCCTCTGGGAAGGCCAAATAAGGCCCCTCAGTTCCCCCTCTCTCTGTTGGCACCTTTAGCTTTGCAGACATTAAAACGTTTCTGCGTTGCCATGCCCCTGTGTACTGTCTATGCTGTAAGGTCGTCTAATATTTTAATTAGAGGAACTTAATTGCAGATCTGTGCTTTGTTTTGCAGGTGTGACACTGCTCAGGGACGAGAGACCCAAAGTGATCATGGAAGATGATGAAAAAGATGGTGACAAATAGCTATTTAAAGATATTTCCCCTAAGACCACCTGTAAATAGGTTAGATTGGTTCCCTATGGCAACCTAGAAAAAATAGACTTGTTTCTGCTCTCATTTTGTCATAGTCCGCCTTTAAGATCCAGACACATTTTCCCCAGGAGGCATACTATATCAGATTGCCAGTCACCTCTCTGTCTTCCTCTTCTTTTTTGAATCTGGTTTCTATTCCCACTTCTTGAATTTTCATTTTCTGATGCAGTGGAAAGGAAGCAGATCATCCTAACTTGGGAGATAACAGGGAAAGCTTTAGTGCTCAGCACCTGCATCTTCTGGATCAATTCGTGGAGCAAAGAGCATGGATAACGTGGGAATCCTCTATTTCTGGCTTATGCTGGTGGGCGGGACTTGACTTCCCATCATCCAAATACTAGTTCAGAGGGCTTCCCTGGTGGCGCAGTGGTTGAGAGTCCACCTGCCGATGCGGGGGACACAGGTTCGTGCCCTGGTCTGGGAAGATCCCACGTGCCACGGAGCGGCTGGGCCCGTGAGCCATGGCCGCTGAGCCTGCGCGTCTGGAGCCTGTGCTCCGCAACGGGAGAGGCCACAACAGGGAGAGGCCCGCATACCGGAAAAAAAAAAAAAAAAGCAAATACTAGTTCAGGTTGGGGCTCCCTGTTGCCAGTTAGGGAAATGAGAATGTTTGGGTTCTAACTCACTGATTGCTTTGGACAACATGGTCTTTTATCTCTTTTATCCTTTCTTAAGAGTCCAAGTGTCTCTTGTGACATACCTAACTAAGACCTTTGTAACTGATACCCTAAAAGTGAATATGTGAGCTGGGGGAGTCAACCCAACCACCCATGCCTTGACTGAAAACAGCACAGGTAGAGGGTGCTGGTCTATCTGGGAAGTTTAGCAGTATACCCTATGTATTTTTTAAAATGTTTCTTAACTATGTTGTCCTGAGATTTTGTGAGTTGTGTAACAAATGACCATTACTAATGATAGGTATAATACTGATGTTTGTGATGAATTTACTTTTTAAAAACTTAATTAAGATCAATGGAAGATCATACCTCTACTTTTAGCAATCTCACTTATTTAGATCCCAATATGCTTTCTTGGATGCGAGGGGAAGATGTGGCATTAGCTAGTGAGCAGGAGTCTGTGTATGACCCCTGCCCCAGCCTGCCGTCTGTGAGTGCCATGAGAAGGTTTTGCACGAGGGCCTCATCTATCAGGTGATGGACATGGGGAAAAACGAAAGCTGTCATTCAAAGGTATAAAGGTGGATATTCAAAGAGATCCTGCCTAAGTGATAATTTGGAAGCTCTGTATACACCCTGACTCCAATAGTTTGTTAATCCCTTCTGTCTTTCTGTCCTTCTAACAAATGTGGAAAAGATACAGGACCCTGCTGGTAATAAAGATGCTTCTGGTACTAAGATGCATCGCTATGTCTGGGTGCATTTCTCCTAAAAATACCCTATTTTACACTTATAAATACCCTATATTACACTTATAAAGAGAAGAGGCTGCAAAAGAGACTCAAGGACTGTTTTGTTTTTGACCCACAGAGGTTTAAAAATGTTTGAATCAACATTAATATTTAATAATCTAATCAGGAGAATTTACATAAAATCCTAGATTTCCAGATTCTCTTGAGAAACCATCTCAAGGTCTGGCAACCTGAGCCTGATTTAGAAGCGTGGCGACCGTCAGCGGGCACTGAGTACCAGATGCCCTTTTAGGAGAAATATACATTCTCCAGCGCTCCATCTGCCCCCCTGGCATATTTCACCTACTGACTTCAGCCTCCAGCCTTCACATTGGAGTGTGGAACCCCTGTTGAAGACCCATACTTTGCATCCCTAATGATCTCTCCCTTTTTGATCCCACTCCACTTTTACTAGCGGTGGCCCCAATCACAGCTTTGGGAAGAGGGGAGAAAGATTGTGGCCAGGCTGCTGGTTGAAGCCTAAGTGGTGAAATAGGCCACCATAAAGTCTTTAAGAAGCCAAATGCAATTACACGTATGTGGATAATAGGATTACCTCACCACCAAGGGATTCTTAGTAAGAAAACACAGATGAACTCTCATTCTATCAGCTTTGCCGTACAAGCGTGGTGTACCTGCAGCCATGCCAACCGGTTGTGCTCAATAAACTCACAGGTGCTCAGAAAAGCTCTCCTCATTTCTGATTCCTGGGGAGGGGTGGAAAGTAGACTGGCTGTTGAAGAGACAAAGGTCTCGGGTTCTTGCCCCAACTGTGCAACACTGAGCAAGTCCCTGGATTTCTCTGAGTCTGTTTCTTTATCTTGAAAATGAGGTTAATAATCCCCACCTTGCCTTCATAATCTGAGAATTAAATGAGATAATATAAGGCAAAGGGTGTAGTAAGCTTAAAAGCCTTGTTCGTCTGTAACAGGATTATTTTAAGACACTTTCAGAGTGAGGACTGTGCCTTTTCTATTGCCAAATCCCCATTGCCTGGGTATTAAATCAGCAGCAATTATGTGGAATTGAATCAGAGCCTCTGAAGAAATACTTCAAGTAGGGAGTCACTTGCAATAGCCTTAACTGAAAGACCAGCTCTCCTCTTTCCAGGAAGATGGTCTTTGTAATCCTCCCAGCCTCAAAGAAGCACTCGCAGAAATGGTGAGGGACAAAGCCAGTCAGAATATCTAACCAACGCTGGATGTCACTGGGCGATTTGGATTGAAGCCAAATCTCCCTCACCTCCCTCGATGCATGTAGCCCTTTTCTAGGCAGGTAAATTAGACGTTTAATGTTTAGGATTACATTCGGATTAAAGTAGTTTTCAATACATTGTGAATAACTTCCCTCCAACTAAATAATGATCATATTAATAAACTAAAGAGCATCACATGGGAGTCCATTCAGAAAGAAGGCCCCAGCTAAAGGCATCCCAACAGAACTGGCAAATCGGTTGGCCATCTGTTCATTCTGACGGCATCTACCCCAAGCCCAGGCTGCCTGAGAAGAGGAGGCGCTAGACATGAGACTCTTAGCTGCACGTAGCACTGGTGGCTTCATTTAAATCCAGATCCTCCTTAAAAGCTGCTGCCTGAGATCACACCGCCAGCTTCTAACGCTTAATTATCACCTGGAGAGGCCGGAACCGGTGCTGGGAAAGGACTCAAGCAGCGTTTCCTTTTAAATGCAATTAAATGAATTGCAGGCCTCCCAAGCCCGTGTGGTCCACATTGTTTTCTTAAAACAAGGATAGACGTAGATGACATGAGGTTGTGAAAATAGGTTGATCGAGCACTTACTTTTCCTAGTTACATGATGGATTATGTAGACTCTCTGTCATCTTGTGTAAATGAGACTCCCTTGTCACTTGTAATTTCTAAGTGTGGAAGACTTAGAAAACTCCCCAAGGCAGTGAATGAATGCAGAGAAAATAGATGGACTGAAAATCTCCTCCTCCTGGTCTCCTGGACACAGGATTGCCTTTGAACTGGCCTTAAGGTATCATCTTCACAGAAGTTCAGAACACAATAATGACCGTAATTCCTGACCCCCAAAAATCAGGGCAGGAGACTCTCCCCAGATAAGTGTATTTACAGGGAAAACAATGCAGTATTTGAAATGTGGTCTGCCCTGGAAAAATCCAAGATATCAGTTTATATTTCTCAAGAAGAAAGGATAGGTATTTCCTAACCTACAGTAGCAGGTCCTTCCAACAACGTGAGACTCCTCGTCTTCAGGAGACTTGCTGAGTAGAAGCAGCAGAAAATGGAAGATAACTGAGCTCCTCTGAACCAACGTCACTCTTCCCATCTGGCGCCAAATGGGAATTTTGAGAGTTGCATAAAAACAGCGAATCACAGATCCTCACATCCTTACGATTATGTGTTAGTGCTCCAGAAAAACAATATTTATCCATCAAATCATGTATAATCTATATTTAAAATGTATTGTTTAATCACTACTTAAATAATGACCTTCGTGAAAAGAACAGTGTGCTCTCAGCCCTTGCATTTGTTCAATCTTTTTCCTCTATCGCCTCGTTTGATCCTCGAAAGCAATTGTAAGAAAACTAAATAGCCAAGGAAACTGACTTGGAGGAGAAGCCAGGATGGAAACTCAGGCCTCCGAATTCATGAGTGCTGTGATCCTGGCAGCTGGGTGTGGAGGAATGACCGCTGTGTACACCCTTCTGCAGCTCCTAGCTGCTGGACACCCAGGGTAGTTCCTACCGGCTTGTCACGGGTCCTGGGATCGCCTTAGGGGGAAAGTGTCTGAAACATCCTCTGGTAGAGTCAAGGTTGTGCCCCTCCTGGGGTTATATAACTAGAGCCTTTATACCAAACTGACCCTCAGTTACCAGCACGGGGCCGCCAAACAGCAGCAGCGATACAGACAAAGTCAGGTTAAGAGACAGGAGTTTGAAAGGTGTGTGAAACCTGGAGACGGGGTGGGGAGGATGTGGGACTGGGGAGAGGTTGAGCCCAGTGGTAGATCCAGGTTCTGGAATCTTGAATATCTGGGTGCTTTTCTTCTGCAATTTCTTTAGCAACTTACCAGAAATATTTTCTGATGGCACCCTGGCTTTCCCTCCTCCCTGAACACTCTGTGGTTCCCAGCTACCCCCAGAACTCAAGAGGGCACATGCTAGTGAGGGGCCCTGGAGTTTAAGCTTTATTAACTCCTTGATAAATCTGCCCCTAGCAGGCAAGAGACAGCTGTCTGCCCGTACTATGAGTCTCAGCAAGTCTGGCCACCTGTTTCCTTCACCATTTTTTGCAGTGTTTCTCAAACAGTTTCATTAACCAGATTTTTTAGCAGGATGATTGCTGGAATTAAATGGTGAATATTAATAACATAAGAGTACCCGTTTCAGGAAATTCAAAAAAGAAGACTTCCCAGAGTTCTTGTAGGGTTGACGAGGTTGTCCTTCAATGCTGAGTGACCGATACAGCTCTTACTGCCCTGGTCAATGCTATTATAATTTCTTGGTATTGAGTTCTCACTTGTCCCGGGAAACATAGCTCTTTCCTTGATCCCCCCATCCTTTCCCCAGCCACACGTTACCTTCCCTCCCCATCCCACTGCATGACCACATGGCTCTGTGTTCCATCTGAAAGGCAGTAGCTCGAACAAGAATGAATTCCACACATTCATTGAAGTGAGCCATCACACGCAGAGGCATACCAGCCAATACCCATTGCTCTAAGCCTTCTACCCAGAAAGAAAACAAGTACCATGGCCAATCCCGCTCCTCCCTAAGCCCCTTAACCCCATAGGAAAATCCCATAGGAAAGCTTCTTGCTTCCATTATCCAGTGTTTGGGGGATCCTTTTGTTGAAGGGAAATCATACTGAGAAGGCTAGTATGTAGAACACATCGAATCTGAAGAACTAAGTAGAAGTACAGTAGGAAGCCCCATGGTCACCCCCTCCTTCCCTCCTCCTCCCGTCACCTCCTTTGGTGGCCTTTAAGGAAACACTAG